AGAATGAGCTTTCTTCATTGCTTAAGTGATTTCCCTTTCTAATAGTCCTTATTTAGTACCAGATTCTTGCTATAAATTTCATTTTTTTTAGCGAGTATTTAGTGAGCCCCTATCATGCGCCAGGCACTGTGTTAGGGAAACAGTAATGAATAAGATGAAAGAAAAAAATCTCTAACTTCATGGAGACCACATTTTGCAGAGAGAGGTATAGCAAACATTAAAGGCACATGCAGCATCATTTTAGACAGTGACAAAGTTTGCACATAATGTAATGCTGTAGGATAAATGCGATCTACAGTGGAAAAAAATCTGAACTTATAACTCCTTGCCCACAGGAATGCGGTGACAGTTGTGTGAGTGAATGTGTGCATAATGTATAGAGGACGGTTCATTATTCCTGGTGGCAACTGTGCTTTGGTTTTTCAGCACAGAGTCCTGTCATAAGTGTATTTAAAAATCCTGGCACTATTGTTGTTATTTTTAATGAGAGGGAAGATTATCCACTCGAGAGACTCTTACGGGACGTCTTCTGCGGGCGAGGCACTACCATACGTGTGAAGTGCAGTGAAGAAGAGAAACTCTTCGACGCTCTGACTTCAGAAGCAGGACTGAACCAACAGGCAGGCTCCATGTGGCCTCTGCCTGGGAAAGGCCACTGGGGCACGGGGTGAGCTGGTCTGTCACCCTCAGACTGCTCTCCCACCCCGGTCAGATTTCGGCAGCTCCAGATGGTAGAGCCCTGGTTATTACTGTCTTTTTTTTTTTTTTGCATATAAATCTTCCTTTTATTGTGTGTACTTTTAAACAACAGACATCTCAAAAAAACCCAAAACAAAACAGAAGCAACTGTCTCAGACTAAATTACTTTATTTTCCATATTGCACTGAATGGAATATTCAGATTGTAATTTGCCTACAAAGTATCAAATTGCATCACAGTAGGGAATTAAATTTCGAATTAAAACTGCCTAGTGTGCTTCTGTTTTGGAATATCATGTGAACAACCGATCACCAAAACACAGTTGTAAGTTGTAGAGTAAAATGTGCTTTTGCACCCCATTGAAGACACTTAATTCAAAAACTAAAAAGAAAGGAAAAGTAGAAATCGTAGTTTGAACGTCCCTATCTAAGTTCAAACACTCTGGGAAATTGAAGGTGTCTTATTTTCCTTATGAACAACATCAAAAGCAATAATAAGTTCAGCCCCAAGAAAGAAAAAAGAAGGAGATCCTGCCACATGCAGCATCGTGGATGGGCTGGAAGAAAACCATGCTAAGTGAGCGCAGCAGGGCTCCATACTACAAGACTCCACCAAGATGAGCTATTCTTTTGCTACAATATTTGCAGATGCATTAAAAGGACAGGAAGCCCAGCAACTCACATTCACAGACTCAGAGCTGAAAGGAACTTCATATGTCGTATGTCTATTTCACAGATGGGGAAATCTATACACACACACATGTGTACATAAACACACACACACATACATACATAAATATCCAGTTCTTTTGATCCCAAACCAGCCTTTTCTCTACCATTATTATAATGACCTCCTGACAATAAACATTCAGAGAGTCAACTTTTCAATTCAATTCAACGAACCTTTTCTGTTTGGTTATGTGCAAAACTGCCTGCAAAATCCCGCAGGAGACATATAGACAGGGTCCTGTTTCCATTTTCAAGGACTCTGCTACGTAACACAGGAGATACAACTCAAAGTGGTGGGGGTGGGTATAGCTCAGTGGTAGAGTGCATGCCTAGCACGCAGGAGGTCCTCAGTTCAATCCCCAGTACCTCCATTAAAAAAATAAATGAATAAATAAATCTTTAAAACATTACATTAAAAAAAAGTGGTAAATGCTACAATAAAGGCACAAAACAAATGAACTCTAGCTTGACCAGCTCTGCTCGGAACCAGCCCGAGGGAATCAGATGTTAGGTCAAGGAGCCTGGTCCCAGACTGTGGGGCTCACGAGGCTGGAGGGTGTTGTGGCTGGGAGAGGAGAATAAACCACCTTCACGAGGGGCTCCCCAGGCCACGCGAAGGGAGTCTGAACTTGATAAGTCAAGGTCTGGGGCAGAGGAGTAACTTCATCACAACTGGGCTTTCTGATGAAACTCCCAGGAGAGAGAAGAGAGGCGGGGTGGCCGTCGGCTGGAAAACGGCAGCCGGATTCTGTTATTCATGTGTTACCCGTGATCCTAACAGTTAACAGTGATTGAATGTGCTAAGAGCTTTGCATACATTAGCTCACTTAATTGTCACAACACTCCAGCGGGCTGGAAGCTTTTATCATCTCGATTTTACGGATGGGGGAAACTGAAGCTCAGAGAAAGTTACATGCTGGAAAGAGGCAGATTGGAGAAGCCACCAGGATGGTTTTATTCCTAAATCCACCCTCTTAACTGTGACGCTGTATTGCCCTGTGCTCACTCCACTTGGCAATGATTTTGTTAAGGAGGGTGCAGAGGGGAGACACGTCTACTGTGGCTGCTGTTGAAAAGGAAGATTAGGAGACAAGTTGAACTTGACTGTGCTTGTCACCCGCCCTGCACTGCGGGCGACATTTAACCCCCAAGGGCCCCCTTTTACCAATTTCCTGGCTCAGTCTCTCATCTGCAGTTTGTATGTGCTAAATCATACAGTATCATTTTATTATCGATTTAAGAAAATTAAGAATCAGGAAAGCAGGGCTACTATAAAAGGATCCCAGGTCATATTTTTCAAAGGCTAATGCCAGTTGGGTAGCTGTTTTGTTTGTGTCATCTGCGACTGTAAATTAGCAAAACTCAGAATGCTGATCCTATACCCTGACCTGGTTCAGTCCCAGCCCCAGTTAACCCTATGCTAACCTTTCTAATCACTGATTTCCTAGTGTCAACATCTGGGAAGAAACACACCCCTCCCTTCAGGACAAAAACCTCCTAGGGCACTGAGACCCCAAGCTTTATTTGTGTTTCACCCCAATTCCAGAACAACAGAACTATGATTGCAGATAACGCTCTAAACGTCCTCTATCATTGCACAGAGATGTTTTATGCCAGGAAAAGTCCATCCTGAAGAAGCAAACACACGCTCGGTGGGGGAGGTTCATGGGGATGCTAACGGCCTGCAGAGCTTCTGTCCCTGTGTTAGATCTAACTCTTTACCCAGGTGGGGACTCGACTGATGGGGGCAGGTCCTGTGTCTCCCTCCCAGTGAGACTGTCAGGGCGCTTACAGGGAGCTTACATACAGATGTGTTAAATGAAAATGGATATAAATTAATGACTGACTAAATGAAATCAGAAAACATACTGTCCAAGAAAGTCAGGCCTAAATCCCCTTCATTTCAGAATGAAGATGAAACGCTTACCTGGTTTTTAATTGCATAAGGGACAACTTCCTGAAAGCTTTCTCTGTTTTTATTTTTGGCCATACCATTCAAACAATATATGCACCCTCTCATGGGGTGCCCTTCCTCTGCCTAGCACTCCGTAGTCAGAAGCTTCTGTTCCAGAAATATGTCAAGAGCCCTATATTGTGATAACAGTAGCCCTATTTGGGGGTGGGAGGGGCTGTCCATACGGTGTATTTGGCTCCGAATTTTTCTCTTTATTCAGGCTCAGAGCTGGAGAAGTCTTACGATTGGGGAACTCTGCTTTGCAACGGGGAGATGCAAATTTTATCCAAGAGAGAGAGATTCCAGGCATGGACCAGTATCACATGAGCAAGGGAGAGGCTCACAAGAAGGTCCCCCGTTACCCCCAGCATCTGGTTCCTCACACACACACACACACACACACTGCCTGGTGTCCACAGCCAGAAGCAGGAGAGGTAGTGATCGTCCGTCCCCTCAGAGTTTTCCCGGGGTCTGTGGGAGGAGGTTTTAGCCATTGAAAGCCCAAGTTTTCCAGGCTGGATACTAAGCACCTGCTTCGTCACCTCACACTGCAGCCCCCGCATCTCCTGCCCCCACCCTCCTGCCCTGCGCTCCGTTCCTTCTTCAGAGCAGGTGGGAAGGATTCTGGGACTCAGCCCCTCCCTGCTCCCCTCGCTGCCTGACGCCCCATCCCTCCCCCCTCTCCCTTCCCTTCCTCCCTGCTTCTCTCTCTTGTCTGTGTCCCACTCCACCTCCTGGCCTTTTTTGGCCTCAAAATCTCCCCATTCTTGGTTTCTCCCCAGACCCCATTCCACCCCCACTCCTGCCTCAGTCCTCTTCTCCCCAGCCCCTCACCAGAGAAGCGGTCCCCTGTATGGCATCTCCCCTTCTCCCACTCTGCCTCCTCCTCCCCCCTCCCCCTCCTCCTCCACAGCCCACCTCCTCCCATTCCTCCCCCTCTTCCTCCTCCTCCTCTCCTTCTCTTTCTTCTTGTCTCTCCCTCCTTCCCTCTCCCCCCCCCAACCCAGAAACTCTGCCTGGCCACTGAATTTCCCTGATTCTCTGATGCTTTATTTTCACCTCTCAAACCAGGCCCCCCAGCCCTGTCCCCACCGAGTCCAGGCTCCCTGGGCTGTACTCATTGCCCAACCCCTCTGCAGACGCAGATCCCTTGTTGTATGTCTCACACTCAGTATAAGGCAAGCCTCCCATTCCCCTGCCCCCAGACAGGCTCCTCTTCCCAACTTCCTCTCCTGGTTCACAGTGCCACTGCTCTCCCCTCCTTCCCAGTTCAAAATCTGAAGTCACCTCGATCGACACCCCAGCCACTCATATTGCCTTGTTGACTTTCCTTAACTATTTCCCTGGTATCTGCCCCCCGGCTCTGCACTCTGTGTGGCTGCCGTGGCTCCAGCTCTCACAGCCTCAGACCCTGCTCATCCCCACCAGGACTCTGCACTCCCACTTCTCTCCCTACAAGCCAGGGGCAAGGTGGATGGCCGAGGGTGCTCTGTTGCCAAGGTCCCAGTGCATTTTTTAAAAACAACACTGCACTTGTCTTAGCAATGTCAGCCGTGGGTGAGGAGGATGGGGAATGTGGTCGGGACCGCTGTCCGGACCCGCTGTGGCTCACCCCACACCACGCTGCCTCCAGGTCGATCCACCTGCAGGGAGGGAGGCGCCGGGCCCAGGGCTGGGGAGATAACCATAATCTGATCTTGAGCTATTCTGCAGATATATACTTAGTCCCACAATACCCGCCCTGACTTTGGCCTGCAGATAAAATAAAGAACAAAACAGAGTTCCTGCCCTCAGGGAGTTTACTCAGTCACCGGAGGAGACAGATAGTGAGTAAGTAAAGAGGGGATGTGACAGGGAGGGGTAACTCGTAGAACTTGTCTATAAGGAAAAACAGAGCCAAGAAAAGGAAATAAAAAGTGAATGGGGCATATGGCCAATAAACATTAAAAAAATACTCAATGTCATCAGGGAAATGCAAATCAAAACCACAATGACAGCACTTCACACCAACGAGGAGGCTATAATAAAAAGTAACTAATGTTGGCGAGGAGGTGAAGAAGCGGAAGCTCTTGTCCATTACTGCGGGGAATGGAAGATAGTGCGGCTGCCGGGGAGAGAGTCTGGCGGCTCCTCAAAGAGTTAAACGTTGCGTCACCAGAGGACCCAGTGATCCCACTCCTACGCAGTCACCAGAGAACGGAGAACACGTGTTCAGAGAAAGCCCTGGACATGAGGGTCATCACAGCACTGTTCACAGCAGTCAAAAGTGGGAATGACTCACACGACCAGCAAGTGACCAATGGGTAGACAGAATGTGGCCTCTTCACACAGTGGAATATCACTCAGCCCTGAAAAGGAAGTTAGTTCTGATTCGTGCTACATCTTGGAAGGTCCCTGATGCTAAGTGAAAGAAGCCAGACGCAAAAGGCCACATACTGTCTGATTCTGATTCCCTTTACAGGAAATGTCCAGGACAGGCAGAGGCACAGAGACGGAGGGCAGCTCAGTGGTCATCAGGGGCCGGGGGGCTGGGGACAGGGGATGGCCGCTTAACGGGAAGAAGATTTCCTCTGGGGGTGATGGAAATGTCCCAGAGCTGGACGGTGGTGACTGCTGCACCGCACTGGCCATGTACTAATACCACTTAATTGAACATTTTTATAATGGTTAAAAAATTAAATTTTACATTACACATATTTTACCACACTTTTTAAAAAAAGTGAATTGGAGGTAGACCGGAGTGGCTCCTTGAATAGGAGGGTCAGGGAAGCCGTTCAGGTGAGGTGAGATTTGGGCGGACACCTGCAGCAGGAGGGGGTAGTTACGGAGGCAGAAAGCCGCCCAGGCTGGGGACAGCAGGGCACCTGGCGGCTCTGAGCTGGAGCCCCCTCCCTGGAATCCTCATCTCATGCCTGCGCCAGCCCCTCTGCCTCCCTGGACCAGCCCTTCCCTGCCTGCTTCTCATCAGGACACAAATGCCTGCTCTGCTCCCCACCCCCGGCCCCTGCCAGCCTGCCCCTCACCCACAGAGCTGGCCTTCTGCCCGCTGGACAGCCCTTCCTGGCCAGCCCAGGGGCCACCTCCTCCAGGCGCATTTCCTAAGCTCTGCCGGACCCTGGGAGCTGGCCCTGGACGGAGGGTTGGAGTCCTGACTCACCAGCCGTGGGACGCGGGGCTTCGTCCCTATCTAAGGGTCTATTTCCTCATATGTGAAACGAGTGTTGCTGAAAGAATAACACGGGGTGATTGCAAAGCGCTTAGCTTAGTACCTGATGCTAAGTCCTACTACTGCTGCAGCCTCACCTCTGCTCTGAAGCTTCAAATCGAGCACCTCATTTTGCACCATCTGGTAATATTTGGTAATTACTTCATGCATGTAGGTAGGAGTCAAAACACATGATGAACACCAATGACGGTGTTTATATCTATTGGGATAACAGTCCCCCAGCCCTGGTGACTGCTCCAATACAGAGCATAGAGAATGCACTTGAGTCAACGTTTGACCAGTGATTGCCTGATTGATCTGGTGCTGTATCAAACAGGAATGGAAGTTTCTTCAAATGAAAATTTTAAAGGGAACAATGATCTCAGGGAGAAAGGGAACATAGAGACAGAACCAGGGAGAGATGAAGGGAGGGGAGAGAGAGCGGGAGACTGAGAACTGGCAAATAAACGCCTGGCCCTGCCATGGCGGGATAAAGTGAGAGATTTCACAGACACAGATGTCTGCAAAAGTAGAAAGTAAATTGCATAAAGGAAGTTCTGGAGGAGTGGTGGCAAATTTTCCCCCAAAATGGCTTCTGCAAATGAACTCTTATTTCGAGAGGCCATAGTTACTGGCATTCAAAGAAACTGTGAACACATCTTTCAAATAGGTAGAAGGCAAATTTCTGATGTTCTATGACAGGAGAAAGGCATAAATGAAAAGATCTGAAAAGATGAGATAGTAGACTTACATTTCACAAAACTTAGAGGTGGGATTAGACAGACAGACAGGCAGACAGACAGACGCATGTAATGTCACCCACTTGGTCCAGCAGAAAGCAGCAAGGGAGGGAGAACCTGCTCAGTTTTATTTGATAAGAAGACAAGACACCAAAATCGGGCTGGGACCCGCGCCTGTGGGAGCCAGGCATGTGACCAGCCTCCAAGCAGCTGCACCAGGGAATGAATGAGACCAGTGGACCCTTGTTTCCTACCTGGACGGCCCACATGCACCCAAAGGCGTTTTGGTGGCTCCACTGAGAGATACGCCCTCCTCAACCCCCAGCCCTTTCTCCATGAACAGAGAGAACCTGCCTAAGCGCCGGGCTTCACCACTTCACTCCTCTTCCCGAGAAACAGACACAAGCCCCCGTTCAACAGTCAGAAGCTAGGAAGCAGCTGGCTTCTCCCAGCGCCGACTGGCACAGTTTTCCTCATCATCTTCTCAACAAAGCAGTGAAAGAGGAGAGAAAATCTTTACCTGGGATCCCCGACTCCTCGGCTGAAGTCTAAAATGACATATAATAAAAAGCAACCCGCTGCATCTTCCGAGAGTTCCTGGAACCCCAAATCTGCCTCCGATCGCAGCTCTCAGTTTGAGCTCTGAATAGAGGCTGTGTGTTATTTTAACCACAAGGTTTCGAGTCAGGAGGAGGAGAGATGGAAATGAGGTCCGCTGGTTGGCAAGCGGAGGCACCAGCCACCTCGAGTGAAACGAGCTCGCCGGTCTGATGTCAGAGCTTGGGACGTCGGAGGAGCCCTCAAACCAACTTTTCCTAAACTAGAGGTTAAATAACAGTGGCAAATTCCAGAGGCGTAAGATAAGACACTTACAGTCTTTTCTAAAAAAAGACACATCGCTCTGCCCTGTCTGATACGGTCTGAAGGGAAAGCCAGCTCAGAGCCAGCGTGGGGAGTCCTGGGTCTCAGACGGGAGAATATCGCACTTGTGGACAGCTGTGCCCCCCTAAGTCAGGAGCCTTTTGGGGGGTTAAAAGTCCAGAATGACCCAGGGGCATGATCAAGTCCAATCTTCTGTGTAAAACACCCAATCAGTGTCATGAGAATCCTTAGGAGGTCATAGGGTAAGGGGATAACTCCTCTGAATTACGTAGTTAGGGACATTAACGTGTGTGAGAGTGTGTGTGAGTGTGTGTGTGTGTCCCCACTTCCCAAACTACTTAAAAACCAAAGCTCCAGCCTCAGCGTGGACCTTAGCTGGAGATCCCCTCTTTAGTATTTTGGGCACCTTTATACAGATGCCGCCTCTAGACTGGGCGGGGGTCAGGATTTACCGCACACAGAATCAACAGCGCACGCTGGAACCACTGAGGCGGCCAGCGGTCCCGTACAGCTAGCCCGTCCCAGAGGCCGATGGGGTTTACCTCCATTTTGGAAAAACCTCCCATTAAGCAGGCTCGTAAGTCAGTTTTACTGAGACTCTTCCAGCTCAAAGGAGCCTGAGGTGCATCTGGACCAAAACATGAATCATCCTGTGCACAGTCACCTCGGGGATGAAAAATGGCACAGCAGCCTCTGGCCAGGACACAGCCAGGCAGCTCGGAGCCGCAGGTGGACAGCAGGCCAGGACATGGCCAGGCAGCTCGGAGCCGCAGGTGGACAGCAGGACGGGCCGGGAGGTGATCCACTGGGAGAGGAGGATTCGGACCTGCCGGTCTAACACTGCCCGTTTCTTCCCGGAGCTGGAAGGGCCTCTCTGTCTCCACCTCACTCTCCTGCCCGAGGCCCCCCCACCGCGCCTTCCTCCCACCCCTCCCCACACGATCTAAAAGTGGATCCCAACATCACCAACCAGGAGTAAAAGACTGACTGCATTTTCTAACTGGATCTTTCAGGCCAGGGGTTGGCAAACCCAGACAACTGCCTGCTTTTGTAAATGAAGCGTGTACTGGTAGTAGCCGCGCTCACTCTCCCATGGGCCGTCGTCAACGGCGGCCCAGGTACCACCACAGCGCGGTGGTGCGGATGTGGCCGAGACCCAGTGGAGAATCCTGTTCTGTGTTGCATTGTGTCATTTTTCAGAAGTGGAAGAATGGAATAAGGAGGATCTTGTGATGATCTCTGAAGATCACCCTGTGGAAGAAACAGTCACTCATACCACCAACCCCGTGTCTGGGCCCTAAGCCTCCGATTTCCTTGATCCGCTCATCAGAGGAGCTCTTGGACCCACCTTCTCTCCCTCCCAGTTTAGCCGCATGGCCCCAGATCTCCTAGCTTTAGCCCCAAGAAGTGATCATGGCTTCATCCAACTGGTCTCTCAAATCGAAGCTTTGGAAGCGCCCTCCAGAACCCTCCGTGTCCTGTCCCTGGACTATCCCTGGTTCCCCCTGGGCAGAGCAGCCACTCCTTCCTCCAGGCTCTCACCATGTTTGTCCTTTCTTCTCTCGTAGTTCTTGTAATTACTGCCCAGTGAGCCCGTTCTTACTGGACTGGGGGTTTCCTGAGAGCAAGAACAATGTCTTGCTCAAGTTTTTATCCCCAGAACCTAATACAACAGGAGACATATCAGGGGGCACTTATTACAGAAAGAACTCGGCCTGTCTCAGCGCACTGGAGCATCACCTCAGAGGAAGTGAATGAAAGAGTGTCTGATACGCTCTGAAGACTGCTTTCTTTAAACAGTCTTCCTCAGCGATGACCCTGGCCCGATCCTTCTAACCCTCGCCCCTGAGTGGGGCTGACTTTTATATGTTCTTTGTTAGCTGCTCATCTAGCTCCGAGTTTGTGGAAGCGGATTCTCATGGTAGAAATGTACACCAAGAGCAGTAAGAAAACGACAACCTTTATAACCACCAGGGCTGCCGGGAGACTTGGAAGGGTGTGGCATTGGGCAGAATGGAGAAAGAATGTTTTCTAAGCTCCTTCTCACTTGAAGGTGATAGGTTAGTTTTGGGGGAGGGCCCCCCTCAGAGAACAGAGCTGTCACATGGCCGAGGGATGCAGACTGGCCCCGTCAGGGCCCAGACATCACAGGCACCATCCGCTCACGTGGCGTTGGTACGGCACCCTCATCTGTATCCTTTTCAGCAGTCACGAGTGTGACAAGACCTGATGACACTTCATAGTGAACAAAGGGTGTGCTGGACGACCATCGCATGCATGGCCACCCCATGTCTTGAGAACAGAGTTCCTTTGGTGAAGGCGGCCCTCCCACACTGAGTCCTTATCTTTGTCTGCTCAGGCTGCCATTAGAAAGAACATCCCAGCCTGGGTGACTTAAGCCACAGAAGTGGATTTTCGCATGGTTCCGGAGGCTACAAGTCCAAGGTCAGGGTGTCAGCACAGCCAGGTTCTGGTGAGAGCTCCCTTCCGGGCTTGCAGACCACCCGGCCACCTGCCCGCTGTCCTCACGTGGCCTTTCCTTGGTGCTGGTGGGGAGAGATCTCTCTCTCTTCCTCCCCTGATAAGGCTACCAACCCTATCAGAGCAGGACTCCACCCTCGGGACCTCATTTAACTGTAATCACCCCCAAAAGCCCTGGTTCAAATACAGCCACGTTCAACACACGAGTGGGCGGTGGCAGGGAGACACAATTCAGTCCCTAACAGTTGCCTGTCCCCGAAGCAGCAGCGACCTCTCCCCTCCGGCCTCCCCTGCAGCTGGGGTGCAGGCATGAATCACAGGCCGGGCAGTCAGATGCCTTCAACTCAGCAAAAATCAGGAAAGGGCTTGAATCCGCTGGACAGGAAGGAGGTCAGTGCCACTTGCCACTTGCCACTTACAGGGAGGCTTCAGTTCTCAGGGGCAGCCCCGGGGAGGGCCAGTCATGTGTCTGGTACAGATTTTCGGCTGCGTGCGTCCAGGGTCCCGCCTTCCTCTGTGGGAACAGCCAGCCCCCCTCCTCCCCGCACCCCGTATAACGTGTATTGTGCTCCAGGTCCTGCAGCTTCTACGCCCAACCCTGGTCTCCCAGAGATTCTGGGACCTACTGATGGCCCTGAGTAAATCAACTCTGGGCTTGAACTAGCTAGAGAGCCCAGCTGCGACGAGGAACACAGACGTGTATGGCCAACAGGTGGGGACCGCTTAAAATGAAACCATTTCTTTCCCGTGCTTTCTTTCTTAGCCAGCTTCTCCTGAGGAGTTTTCTCTCTGGCCCCAGTGCTGTTTGGAATGTGACTTGGTGCGGATTCTTGGCTTGTGTGCTTTCGGGCTCATTCCTCACCTTTTTCCCCTTTTCTTTGTATCACAGGAGGTGTGTGTGTTGGAGGGGACGGGTTCGCCCCTACAAGTTGTGTGTCACAGGCTCTTGTGACACCTGGGTTCAACCCAGGGGAGGCACCGGTGGGAGCCCAGGCGGCAGGAGGGAGGGAGCAGCCAGGATGCTTCTCCCCGCCTCTCCGCCTCGGGTAGCATCTCCAGCAGGGCCGCGTCTCTCTGTCTGTGACTGCAGTTCTGAGGGGACTCAGCCCCTGGGTCCAGCTCTTACCAGGTGACGCTGGCTCTGGGCTTCAGCCCCAGAAGCACTGACTTCCCGTATCTCCGATCTCTCAATTGCTTCACATCCCTGTTGGGCTTCTCGACTTTTCCATCATGTGTGTGGCCACCTCACTGCATTATATGTCCTCTGTTTTAATGCTTAGAGTGGTTCTCATCCTCCTGGTCAGACCCTGACTGATACAGCCGTCCACTCTACTTCCGCTTCCAGTCAGAGGACCACCACCCCCTCCCAGGGCTTGAATGGGACTCTCTGAAGGGCGCCTTCGCCCTGTGGGGTAGAATTCCTCCTGTGGCTTTGGACAAGATCACTTCTCTGGAGTTGACACCAGGAGGCAAGTGTTATCAGGTCACCTACGTAACTCTTCTGGCTTTTTCAGAGAATAAGAAACAGTGTTCAAAGGGACTCTGCTGAAAAAAATCACGATCAGAAGCCAGCAGCTAAATCCCTGCTGCACAGACCAGAACGTCCCATGAGGATAAAACAAGATGCAGACATGGGTCAGCGAAAGCTGATAAATACACGGGGGATTTAGAAAACTGTGCCTGGCTTTTAGGGAAAAAGAAATTATAAAGGCTTTCCCCCTCTAATTCATATGGGGAAAGAAGCTATACACCTACGGTATTCACTGTGGCATTATTTATTTAGGTAAATCTAAATGTCCCCCAGAAATAAAACTATGTTTCCTCACGAGACATTTTCCTCCACGGAATAGTTTACAGCCACTCGCGAAAACAATTACGAAGGAGATGTAGCAACCGGGGAATGTTTATAGCGGACTTAAATAGAATTAGCAGAACCAGATAACGTGTCTCCGCGGTGCTCACGGCCACGTGAAAGTCACAAAGGCGGAGAGGGGGCGGGCGGGGGCGGGAGGCTGTACGTGGTGTGGGAGTCGGTATTTCAGGTGATACCTTGAGAGGAGGATCATTCTTCATAAAATTACCTTTCTTCAAAAACAAGCTGACGTTTGTACAATGGTAAATATTCCTCCCTTCCCTTTCTTTCCATCTCAGGTCACGTAATACCGTGAGGACAACAGGTGGACAGGCGGGGCCGAGAGGCAGCCGACTACCAGGGCCGGGGGCGTGCTGAGAGAGGGGCATGGAAAAGGAGAGCTCGGTAAAAAGAATGAAATGATAAACACCGAGGAACCAGTGAGGCTGAATTCTCGTGATCCTTAGGACCAACGGAGAAACAAGAACATGGAGGATTTCCCATCGGGGCTGAAT